AAATGCAGAGTCAAATGAAGTTTAAGAAGTTCCTTTATTTGATCCCCAGTACAAAAAAAAAGAAGTTCCTTTAGCGAAGGACATCATCCTCCAAACAATTAGTGTGGCTTATTTCTAAGAGGGTCTTATGGTATGTAGTGTTTTGCTAATGTATTTTATCAAGGACTCAATTTTCATGAAGAACTTCATGGGACTGAAATTTCCAGGCATAACTTGTACTTTGACCATTTTTTCTTCCCCCAATTCCTATGACAACCTGTGTAATTTACTTTTCAGTTTAAAACTTGGGCAGGAACACTATAACACCACTCAAGTCTGCACTCCGGAACAACAGGTGCCCTAATCAATATTGCAGACTCAGCCAGGAATTTGCCAGAAAGGCAAGACTGCAGAGTACACTCTGCCGTACTCACTGTGCATATTTTTATTAACACCTAAAACTGAAAATCTTACAAAGAATGTTAGCAATGGATGTGAAATGGTGAAACTGGTGGCTTGTTGATGTGAAGAAATGAGCTTCCATGAGTAACACTGAAAACAGTGAAGAACGTGTAAAGAAGTGAAAATGTTTTAGAGGTACTCTATGATCCAGTGTGAATGGAATACGTGGACTCAGAAAGGCGTTCCCTCCGGAGACAGCCTGAATTTGGTATCCATCCACTGGGTTATGAAGACATAGCACTGCCTGGTGGCTAACACAAGAGCAAAGAGCTCTGCCTGCGGGGTGCCCCCTTGTCTGTCTTGCCAAAGAATAAGCTGTATAAATCATGTTTTTCTTCCCTTGCTAATGTGTTTAATAAATGCCTCTGTGTTTAGCAGGCTTTATCTGACTTGTTTGCAATACAATGGAGTAACAAAATTTCAGGTGTTAACACTGGTTCGTGCCAAATCTCATCTGAGTTAAGAACCAAGGGTCAAAGAAAATCCAAGGAAACAAACAAAAATACACTAAACCCCAACCCACTCAATCAAGTCTCAGTATTTTTCTTGAAGACAGAAGAAGGTGCCTGCCAACCTATTGTACCAATAGCATGTTTGAAAATAATTCACATTAGGGGGTGAGGAAAGGTGACTCCAGCAAACTGTGAGGGGAGGAGGCCAGAAAGGCAAAGCTAACATGCTTAGAAGCAGAAAGAATGCAGCAGTTCGGCCCCACACCACTGACACGGGAGTCAACAAAGGACCTCCACTCAACCATTCCCTCCATATTTATTTGCTGGAATTCTATTATAAGGAACTGCTTTCCTTTTTACATACTAATTGGTGTACTTATTTATCTCGGTATGGACTGTGAGGTTCTTGCTCTAGCTGAGATAGTTTCCTGTTTGATGTTACGGTACCTGCTCAGGGCACATCATGATCACACTCATTGCACGCATTCTAATGCTGCAGAGGCCCTCGTCTGCCTGGGGGAAGCCCTGGAGCTGGCTCCTGACTGCACTCATGTGCTCCTCAGTCTTTGCTCACTTCCCTCCTCTCTGGTAAAAAGCAAACTGCTCCTTGCTTAGCTCGTGCTTTTCCTACCGTGGCCAAGAAGGCCTGGCTGGATCTTACCAGAGAACAGCACTGAGAGGCCAAGAGGATACGAGTTTTGCTTGCTGCTGCCAAATTGCCCTTGCCTCTTTGCCCTCCCAGAGGACAGAACCAGAAGGCGGAAAGAGAGACAGGTGACAGGGAGTGCATGTCCATGTAGAACTTCAACTAGGAGTTCACGATGAGCTCCAGGCCCAACCCAACACATGGCTTGACTCCACACTTCTGTCCTTTCCTGTCTTTCCTTCTTTTCTGTGACAATGAAAAGAGAAATGTGACCTTCACTACCCATAACTAACATATTTATTTTCCTAGTCGCTGTCTCTCCATAAGACATCAGTCACAGAGAGAAAACAGCAAGTCCACAATGCAGAAATATGAGAGACACCACACTAGCTGAGCTCAAATAATGGCACCAGGAGATAGCATGCACCTCCTACCCTGAGCCATTAGAAAAGACACCAGATCCTTTCCACACTGTGGTTGCCAAAAAGACATAATCTGAATCTAATCATTAGGAAACATCACACAAACCCAAAATAGCTGGCCTGTACATGTCAAAAATGTCCAGGTCATGAAAAACAAACAAACACAGAAGTACTGCTCTAAATTAGAAAAGACTAGGGGCGGGGATTTAGCTCAGTGGTTCCACTGCCTGCCCGGCAGGCACAAGGACTCGAGTTCAATCCCCCATACCTAGATAGATAGATAGATAGATAGATAGATAGATAGATAAATTAGAAGAGACTAAAAATATGACATCAAAATACAGCATATTCTCCTGGATTGATTTCCTAGACCATGACAACTGGGTCTGCCCTCTGCTCTAAAGGCAGGTAATGAGGCAACTAAGCACATTTCAAATGAAGCTTATGGGCTAGAGAGCAGTACTACCAATGTCCATTTTCTGGTTCAGTAAATGTGATTAGCTGAGAAAATTTAGTCTTTTGAAACACACACCAAAGTATAAAGGGACCTTATAAACTCGTAAATATTTCAGTAAAAACCAAGAAAAGAAAAAAAGAATATAGCACGCAGAGACACACAGGGCGCCAAGCCTGAGAACAGCAAGGGGCTGGGGACAGAATTTGAGCTCAAGGGAATGGGGACAGGCTCAGAAAAGGAAGAAGAAAACTGTGGAAAAGGGGAATCAGGAAAGCCAGGGAACCTTCCAGTGGGGGCACTACGGTGCCCTGTTGCATACAAGTGGCAGGAGGAGCTGGGCAGGAGCTCGCTGCGCCCCAGGATCACTGTGTGGGTCCTGAGTGGGTGACAGAATCACCAGCCTTGCACGTTGCCCTCCAGGCCAGTGCTGCACCAGCCGCCAGAGCAAACCACCAGTGTAGTCTGTCCAGCCTGAGAGCAGTGGGCATTTCCAAGTCCCTCACTGTGTGCACCATGGGTCACCTGGCAGCCAGGGCACCAGGCAGCAGCCAGGCTGGGCAGGACAGAGCCCCTGTGAGAACTTGCACTCACCTTCGCCCACCAGTCCTTTCTCTGCCCTGGTAAGTGGGACTCAGCCTCAGAGAGCCAGCCCTGAGCCTGACACTCGCATGTGTCATGTTCATGGAGCAGTCTGGCCCCAGCGCTTACTGGAAGCGTTTTATCTTTGTGGTCTAGAGTCTAGGTTTGTCTTCATCATTCAAAAGCTGTTTGGTTCTCATTTACAGGAGTCAAATTTTACCCATCCTACAATAAAATACAGTTTCAGCTGGGCACAGAAACTAGTAGAAAACAGAACACGGGTCGGTCTTTCCATACTTCCCAGGGGCCTTATTTGTATTTGATTTTGTAAAGTTTGGGAAACGGGATCCTTAAGCAGCACTTAGCTTTCAACAGATGCACCTCCCGCCAGAGTTCCCAGTTTGCTAACATAGTGACTGGGGCCTCACACCATGCTTTGTTGACAGATAATAATAAATTAAGATGATAACAAATAATATTTTACACTCTACACAGCTCTTTCAAGTATGTTCTTCCTTGATCATACAACCTTGTAGGAGACTCAATAGATAAAATTTCTAATCAAAGGCCATTCCAAACAGTGGTTTTCACTGCTAGACTCCTTTGTCTCTGAAAAACAGTCCGTGGTAGAGGATTCTAGCACACACTAGGTTAAGTCCCTAACCAAGAAGTCCACCCAGAAGATACATTTGGAAATGTAACAGCCTAAAGAAAATTATGTTCTTCAACTAATATTCTGGTTCACCTGATGCTCAGCACACTGTCTGACAAAACAAACAGCAAGTTTATATGGGCACAAGCTTTTCTGCATAGGCCTTTGCCTTTCTATAAGCCAAAGACAGAGTCTTCCTTTATCTTCACAAGGCAATCACCTGTCACTCGGGACACACTGAGCCTTTAATTAAAATGGCAATTAACATGGGGACTGGAGGGAGTTCTTTTTTTAAAATTATCATTTATTTTGAGCCTGCCTTAGAAATGTTAATGCCAATGTGTTTGCCTAGTACAGCCCTATCTCAGAGAAAAACGTCCAAATATTGAAAGGCTGGCTTCTTTTGGCTTTTGGTTTAAAAAAAGAAAAGAAACTGATAGGTTTTCGCAGTCTGTTAGCAACAGACAGATTTGTTCTTAGAAAATGATTTAGTTTTTGGAGACATAAGTGATAAAACTGTCATAGAGACCATAAAGAAATTCCAGTCATTAACTTTTCTGTTTCTCCAAGAAGAATCGGTAGTTCATATCTCTCTAAATACACAAGCAGAAATAAGCTCTGCTGCCCCAGCATTTACTGCAGACTCATTGTACATGCCCAATCAAGGCAGCCTGAGCAGGGAGGGCCTTCTCGTGTGACAATGTCACAGGATTCATGCTCTCAAATTATTTTGATAAAATAGTTACCAGCTGATTTTTAATTGTCCCCTAGTGCATTTACCGGTGCAAGAGTCATAGTTACAAATAATATTCAGAGGGAAACAAGACACTTATAAGACAACCAATGATACAAGACCAAAAGAAATGTGTAAGAGACACAAAGAAAAATCATCACCGAATGGTCATTATAGTTGATAAATACACAACTTCATCCTTTCCTTTAATGCTGCTATTTCTAAATGAAGTAAACATTGTAATTAGTAGCCAACTAATTATAATCCTGAAATGCTTTAAACTAAAATACTCAATTCCATCAAAGATTCTGAAAAGAGGACCCTGGAGCTGAGCCAACGCCCAAATCACTAATTCGATTCATTGTGTTAAAACCAAATCATGTTTTTTAAAAAAATTCAGGAACGATGTGGCCATAAAATGTGGAAGACAACATTTATGTATCACTGCATCTCTAAGGCACAAGACGCGGGATCTCATGCGAGGAGGCCCTAGGTACTTTAACTCAGCCAACGGACTTGGGGCCTTTAACTGAAACGCGAGATGAGACAAGACAGACGACCTGGGAAGGCCCCGGCCCCACGCCGGAACCCAGGCCCCCGTGCCAGGTTGGCGCTCACCATTGCATTGCTGCCGGTGGGCGAGCAGTCCGCCTCTGTGGGTCGCGGCGTGCAGAGCCCCAACAACGCCCTCCCAACGGCCGAGGCGAGCTCGGCACTGGAGTCGCCCTTCCGAAGGCAGTGTCCAGAACGTTCTGGAACACCCTGGAACACACGCAGATCGCGCCACACTGCGTACTGGGCGCTGCGTACTGGGCGCTGCGTACTGGGCGCTGCGTACTGGGCGCTGCGTACTGGGCGCTGCGTACTGGGCGCTGCCTCCTGCGCTTGCGCCTAAGCCTCCCCCTACCCCTGCCCGTGTCCCTGCCCTGCGCCTGTGCCGTGCGCGCCCACCCAGGCCTCTCACTCTCGCAACTGACCCGACTCCACGCTGCCAGCCTGACCACAACGGGAGAAGGCGGGTGTTGTCTGAAATCGCTCCTCTTCAAACGTACTCCGTTCTGTCGAAAGAGAGAGCGTCCCAGGCCAGCGCAGGCGGGCGGGGTTTGTTACCCACAGCAGGACGGAGAAGGTCAGCTGGTGACAGGGAGGCTGCTGCTGGCCCCGGTGAGCCTCCCCAGGCCCCTGAGAGGAAGCTCGAGAAACGGGGTGCTGAGAACTGTCAGAAAGGTGAGATAATCCCCTCTCCCTGCTAAATTGAAATTGAGATGAGCCTTCCTACCCGGGGTCTGGGCAAGGACACTGAAGCCAAGGACACACCATCGGCTGTGCCGCACACGCTTCCACACCCAGCCTCCCGACGGTGAGGCCAGCAACCCAGCCCCATCCCACGGAGTTGCACAGGCCTAGGAAATGCTTCACACTTAAAAAAAAAAAAAAAAAAAAAGCTCTTTATGAAGCCCTAATGATGAAGAAAATGTGGTGTTTACACACAATGGAGTATTACTCTGCCATAAAGAAGGATAAACTTGAGTCACATGTAGGGAAAGGGATGCACCTTGAGATCATAATGTTAAGTGAAATAAATCAAGCTTAAATATTACATAGTTTCTCTTATGTGAGAAGTTCAAAGCATAAATAAAGAGCAGAATAAAAGATAGATAACAGGAAACAAGGAGGTCTTTTGCAAATGGGAAAGGGACCTAGAGATATAGGGAGGGAAGGAAAGGAGCAGAAGGGAAACAAAAGAATTAAGATGTGTTCTGCACATGCACCAACTCCTCTTGATAAATGTAACATTACCTACTACAAACACACACACACATAAACATAATTTTTTTAAAGCCCCAATGAGACTAGGAAAACTTTGCCTTAGATACAGCAGCTGACATTTTTCCATCTACTATATCATCTTCAAATCATTTCATGTTTGTGAACATAATTTATTTTTAGCTTTTTTGTTTAGAGATCATTTTATATTTATAGAAAGGCCATAAAAATAGTTCAGAATTTCTGATTCCCCTCAGCTTTCTCTAAAATTTACATTTACATAATCAAACCAAGGACACCAAAATTAGGACAACCAAGGTACAGTACTATTAATTAAACCACTAATACTATTTGGATTATACTGGTTATATTACTGTGCTCTAGTATTTCCCCTTTCTGGGAATTTTTTAATTGACAGAAATTATGTGTATATTTTTATGTGTATATATAGACATACATACATGATACAACATTTTGAACTATGTATACATTCTGAGTTGACTAAATTGAGCTGGTTAACATGGATTGCCTAACATATTTCTTTTTTTGTGGTGGAACACTTAAAATCTACTGTGTTGAAAATGTTCACATATACCACACATTGCTATTAACAGTCATCGTGATATAATAGATCTCATGGACTTGTTCGTCCTGTGATACCCTCCAGGTTCATCCATGTTGTCATAATGCTATGCATTCTTTCTTTTTGAAGGCTACATAGTATTCTGTTGTGTATATATGTACCACATTTTTTAAAATATCCATTTATCCACTGATGCCCCAGGCTGATTCCATGTCCTGGCTCTTGTGAACAATGCTGCCAGAAAGCTGGGAATGTAGATGTCTTCTTGACAAAATGATTTCATTTCTTTTGGGTGTCTAACCAGTAACAGGATTGCTGGAACATATGGTACCTCTGTCTTCAATAGTTTAAGAAACTTCCATAGCGTTTTCACTAATTTACATTTGTACTAACACTGTGGAAGGATTCCATTTGCTCCGCGCCCTCACCAAAGCTTCCTCCCCACTGTCTTCTGATAACAGCTGCTATAAGGTGTGTGGGGTGGTGACATACTGTGCTTTCCTCCGTGTGTCCTGATCATGCATGTTGGTGGCCTTTCTCTCAGGGTCCACCAACTATCTCAGTGCCTTCTTTTGAGTAATGTCTGATCCGATTCTTTCCCTATTGTAAAATCAGGTTATTTTCTTGCTAGTGAATTCCTTGAGTTTCTTACACACTTTGGATATTTCTAAGCAAATTACTAAACTCTTTCCAGATTTATTTCTTCAAACTGTTAAATATAGTGCTGGCACCAGTTTGCAATCTGAAAGTCCGCCTTCAAGGCCTGATAGGCAAGTCCCTAACCTGGCCTCAGTTTCCCAGCCTTTAACAAGGGAACCATAATGAGGGTCCTGCTGACCAGATGCCGCTCCCTCTCTGGCTCTGAATCATTCACAACTCTGAGAGATTCCCCACCCATCTGTCTCTCCCAAAACTCATCCCATGATCAGTGGGCTGTGAAGAAGAGGCCTGGGAGCCTGCCCCACAGAGCTGACACACCCCACCTCGTGGGCTCTGCACCCAGGAATTTAAAACAATTTTTTAAAATTCTCTAATGCCAACCTTGTAACGAAACTTACAAAGCAACAACCAATAACTGCACCAAAAGTATGAGTAGATCTTATTTTCCATTTGAACAAAACCTTCAGTCCAATGGCTCTAGAACAAGTTGCCCAAATAGTTTATTAATTGCTGTTTTTAAAATTCCGGATCCTACATGTTTAAGATTTTCAGAAAAGGAAATCCAAAGTGATCATTACCACTCCCCAGACACTCCATCTTGGGTTCTTGCTGTTGCCTAGGAGTTTTCCAGGCCATCTATAGGGCGGGCAGGGACTTCACCTTAGGGGAGGCTAGGGCCCAACCCTTTCCCTTTCTCTCTCTGCTTCCTGGCCACCAAGCTCTCAGTCTGCTGGGTGTGAAACCCTCATGTGCTGTGCTGCCCTCACAGACCTAAAGATAGTGGGCCAACCATGGACTGGAACCTCCAGAACTGTGAGCCAAGACACCATTTCTAAGGTTAGTTTTGCAGGGATTGGATTAGAGGAACAGAAAACTAACACAGTCTCACGGGATGCAGAAGTCTAGGGTACCACTGTTTCCCTCAGAATTGTACCCAAACTGAAAAGATAAAATGTAAAATCACACAAAATGGTGTGGTCTGTGCTGGGGAAGGACGCCGTCACCAAGGGACAGACCCTCGGGTCAGGTCACCAGCTCATCTCCTTCCCACCTGGGACACAGTGGCATCGATGTGACCCTGGGCGCCCCAGCGAGTGAAGCAGTATAAGCACGTGGCACTGCACTGTGCACTGGAAGGGGAGGTAGCACTGTGTCTATCTAGTGTACTGCATTTCTGTAAGAAGCCAAAGGTATTTATGAATAAATCTATGTATGAATATCATATGTTTATGTGTATTTATATGGTCATATGTTTATACTTTCAAAAAACTAAACATATAAAAACTTTTTTAAATTGTATTTTTTTTGTTGTTTTGGGGGTTTTGTTTTTTTTTTTTTTTTTGGTACTGGAGATTGAACTCTGGACCTTGCGCTTTCGAGCCAAGCGGTGGAAGCACTGAGCTAAATCCCCGCCCCTAAATTGTATTTTTAAATAGGGGTAGAGAATGGATAGGAATGGATTCTCCAAATGTATCCTGTTTTTATCGTTTTAAATTTTGGAACATGTATAAGTTTTAGATCATTAAAAAAACTAAAGCAAACTTAATTTACAGTAAGTTGGATTTAAAACACCAAATGTTAAACACATCCAATGGAAAATAACCTAAGGACAAAAAGAATCACAAAGAAGTCTTAGACGCTGTATTTGGTGGCCCTCCTGTTTGCAGAGCTGTAATTAGGAGCTATGTTACATAGAACTAAGTTAATTAAGGGAACTCATTGATGTAGAGTTTTTCTTGGAGTCACAGAAAGGAGACCTTACCATAAAATCTTTTCTATTGTAATAGTGATTTAAGATGTGAAACTGTAATAATTGTAATGTCTTCAGTGGCAAAGATAGACCCTCAATCTTTGCAACTCTCACACAATCCAGAACAGCACATGGCATGCTGTAGGTCCATGTCATGGATGTTTTTTGGCCAGGGAATACATAGATGTTTGCTTAAAAATCTGTTCCAAGTTAGAAGTTTTCAGAAGAAAGTTTGGCATTTTGAACAACAGTGTTATTCATAATGCACTAGGGGCACTATTACCTGTTCCTGTTGCCAAAAGCAGAGAAGACACCAGGACACACCACACACCTCTGTCCACATCTGTGTGTCATGTTAGAAAAATCCCAAACACCAGTTTGGAGATCTCAGGGTCACACATCGAGTGCCTGCCATGTGGAAGATGCTTCCTTCTACAGCAGGAAACTGCACTCCTGACCAGAGCCTGGAACTGCTCCACCCACCAGGCACAGAACCTCTGTGACATCGGGGACAAAGGTGCAGCCCCCCACGTGCCGAGCCACCCCGGTCTCCCTGACATCATTTAAACCAGCGGCCCTGCTCCTCACCCACCCTCAGACTGAATCCTATGGAATAATTTCCGGCTCTCTCAGAACCCAAGGTGGTGGCCCCATCCCACTGTCCGCAGTGTTAGCTCCTGCTGAATGGGCGTCTCTCAACTTGAGGAACTTGAGGTTTTATTCATAATAAAGTCGATGAGGCGACTTGGGCTCTGCACGGGACTGTCACACAATTCAGCACCTGTGCTTTCCCTAACTGCCCCCGTGACCTTTTGTGTGTTCCATCCCCGCTCCTGTCATCGCCTCCCCACCCAAGCCCCTGAACATGGCGGGGAGAGCACGTCTCCCACCCTCAGGGCCCCTTGCTCCAGGGAACTCAGAAAAACATCCCGGAAGAGCAGTGAACTCTCCAAGGTGCCAGGGAAGGCAGAGAAGCGTGGGAAGTGGCTCCTGCCCTCAAGGTTCCCGCCAAACTGTGGGCAAGAGACTGAAGAAGC